ATTATGATTGTTTAATTTGAACCTTAAAAATATTTAATTTAGAATTGATTTATCTATAAAGGTTGTAGGTATAAGAGTTATCTTTCAAATGAAATTAACCTTAATTTAATTAGAGCTACGCAACTCTAAATATGACTTGAAAACTGAAGGAATGTCAAAATTAATCTTTGTCGAACAAATTTCATTAAGTATGATAACAGGTAAATCTGAGTATGTTAAAGGTATAATTAAGTTTCTTGCCATCTAGTAAAGTTGTAGATTAATAATCTTATATTTAAAAAGTCAATCCAAGTTCAAAACTGAGGTCTATAACTCTATTTATAAATAAAATACAAAACAATGCTCTTGAGTAAAAAGATGGGGATAGAAAGTGTAATGAGAAAATTTGTTGAAGGTGAATGAATTCTTAGTAATGGACTTTTGTGAATGAAAATTTAATGATATAAGAATTTACATTATGGTAAAGTCATGAAAAGTCATGAAGTGATACTTATAGTACCTCTTAATCCAAAATAAAAAAGGTGTCTAAAACAGATTTGTCTATAGTTATGTCTAAAGCAGATTTGTCTATAGTTAGAGAAGGCTTGTTTAGATAGAGAAGCAAGTTAGTTCTCTACACTTTATTAATTATGTTATATTTAGAATTATTAAAACATCATTGTTAGATTTTTTTTATATTCAATTATATTATTATCTGATATAAGATTGTTTCCATGTTCTGGTTTAGATGACTAGTTCTTAGTTTAAAAATTAGTGCCATGTTTTAGGATGGATGACTAGTTCCTCGACTTAAGAACTAATACCTTATTCTCGACTATGAAAATAGATATCCTAAATATAATTAATGCCTTATTTCTAGGCAATAAAAAGCTTACCCTGAACGAGGGTCTCTTACCTGGGTCTGGGTTAAGGGATTGTTTTAATTTATATAAAGAAAGGATAAAGATGAATTAAGTTAATCATTAACTTAATTCTTAATGGATGTGTATACTTTAAGTTATTCCATAAGTTTATTATATTACATTGAAAAACATTTAAGGAATATTAATTAATGGTATACAAAAATAACTCTAAAAGTTGTAATATATATATAAGAAGTTGAGCAATGACTGCATGTATTTATAGAGGACATTATAACCATATTGATGATGACTAAGGTTTTGTGATGAAACTTAGTATCGTTATAATGATGACTAAGGGTATATGATGAAACTTAGCATCACGATGATGGTGATTAAGGTGGTATGTGAATTATACAAAATGATTGTAGTGTCAATAACTTAAGATGTATATAAATGATACTTAGTGATCTTAGTGTTGATAACTATGATGGTATGTAAATAATACTTGGCAATCAAGGTAATAATGGCTAAGGTGTTCCTATGACTCTAATACTTAATCACCAAGGGATGGTAACTAAGGATAGTGCATATTAGTATACTTAGTCCCTAGAGGCGTGTAAGTAAGGTCACGATTTAAATGATTATATAGTCATTGAAATGATTAAAGCAAACTTATGGTGTTAATACTTAGCTGTTATAGTATAGGTAATTAAGGATACAACATATTTGGACACTTAATCCTAGAGGAAGGTGACTAAGGTTACGGTGCAAATGAGTACGAGGTCACCATAAGGTTAATGAATATGGTGGAGACTATGATATTAATAATGTCAATATGTAATTGTCAAAATATTGATCATGAAAAAGATACATTTTTAGTTATTAAATCAACATTGATATTATGAATTGTTGAGGATACCAATGAATAAGAAAATCAATTATGGTTTATCAAGAATAATGATGATTACGGAAATAAATTATGAATTATCAAGAATAACAATGGTTAAAGATATATTTACGATAAGGGGATAATTTATGACCAAGAAGGAATGAATCTTTTATATGAAATCTACTTGATTTTCATTATAAAAGAATGATGAGTAGAGAACAATTATTAAGTGAGAATAATTGCATGTGAGATTAATATTGAAATGATTATAATACACTAACTTATTTAAAAGAATGAAAACTGTGATATTCTTATATTATCCCATCTTGTTTTAGAATTAAATGATATGATTAATGATGTTATCAAAGAACTTTCTTTATTTAATTATTAGTTATTAAAGGTTTTAGTCGCATCGTTAGCATGTTCTTAGATCATTTTATCTTTCTTGTATATTTCCCTATGTAGCATACGTGAATAATATTAGGTTTTTGTAATAGCTTTCTTTACATGTATGGACTTAGTTATGTATAAATTAAACAATTTATGTGCATGTACTGAAATAACATATCTTGAAAAGAATAGTATATTTGTTGTTCTTGAAGATAATTGATAAGTGTTAGTGGTGACTTATGAGATGGATGAACTAAACATATATGTTCTGATAATTATACAAAAAACAAGTTAAAACTCCGAGAATGGATGTAAAAAATTAGATTTGTTACAATGAAGTTTAATTTTTAATTAATTTAATATTAAAAGATAAAATTAAAAATAAAATATTTAATTAAAAAATAATAAGATAAAAATCCTGAGTCAACTTAAATTATTTATAAGATCATCAACTATTCGTGTATGTATGTGTGTAGAGGCTATTAGAATTACAAAATTAAAATAAAATTAGATTATCAAACCAACATTATACAGACATGATTATAAGTTTATAAAAAAGTATATAGTCTTTAATTATTAGTACCTACCAACATATATAATAATCTTTATTGAAAACTAAACGTCATAGAGCTTTTTGTCTTGGTTTAACAGTAAGAATACTTTTTTTGAGCTGTACACCTTTCATGGTTTAATGGAGTTTTAATCTCATGTTTATCCAAATGAATCCTAATTTCCACAGAGATAAATCTTTACCTGCGTATAATAATAATAATAATAATCTCACAGCCTTCTTGAAATACTAACGTGGAGAGCAAATCCACCTAGCAATGAAGCTAATCCTCCAATGATAGAAAGGTATATGTATATATATATATATAGTCGTTTACATCAATATTGCCAACGTAAAAATTGTGATGAATTCATCGGAGGATCTTTCTTTAAAAGATGATAATTATATCCTTTTCTTGATTTTTTTGTTTTTAATTAAAGTATTATAGCAAGCCGGGAATTCTCAATAGAAATTGTGATTTGACTAGAGATTTTGATCATAAATCAATTGTTTGCACGGTGGGTCATCACCTAAAAAATTTAAATGGCATAAAATACTTGGAATATATTGTCTTAAAAAGCATTAAAACACCAATGAAACTTTAATTATCAACTAAAATCCAATGTTTTAACTTTTTAATTAAAAAAATTATCCATATACTTTATAATAATTATAAAAAAAATAAAAATATTCTTTTTCTCTTCTATTCTTGCAAGAAAGATGTGGAATTGTTTTATATCAACTTGTTAAAAAAAATTCTAATTTTAAATATGCAGGTAAATAAATAGATGAAATTTTTTTAAAATTATTATTTTTTAGAGATCTAGTTGTAAATATATATATATATATATAGTTTTTATTTCAATGCAAGTATCTAAAATCTACTTATATATTTTAAAAATTAAACAGGCTGAAAATATCAAGTTTTATATAAAATTATCCATGGTATTTTTTTAAAATATTTTAATTTAATAAATACCAATAACATTTACTTAGAAATAATTTAAAACAACCTATTAGAAATAATAATAAAACTATTATAAAATAATAAAATAACACGCATGCAGAGCATATACCAAAAACTTAGTATTATAAAAATAAGTATAAAGAATGATGTGGAGTTTACATGATGGTATACTTTGCCCTAATTTAGGAAATAAGTTCAAAAAGACCTTGGTTTAGGAATTAACTAGCTAGTTGTACCGTGCTTTGTTGCAGGTGGGAGAAAAATAGTATGTAGGTATTGCTAAAGCATGCTAGATTATTAAAAAAAAAATGAGATTATGTAACAAAAAATAAGTGCATGTGTTTATTAAAGTAAACAGAAACATATGTATTAAAAAAATATTTTTTTTAAATGATGTTATTTATTTCATTTAAATTTAAGTGATCTAATTTAAGGTAATATTTTTTTTTTAATATTAAGATAGTAAATATAAAACTAATTTTGAACACCCTGGTTTAATTATAAAATCCGCAACCCAAGTATAAACACTATCATGCTAACTTGGCAGGCAAGTTATCTCTTTTTTTTTTCTTTTAATATCAAATCTTTATTAAACTCGAGTTGGATGATATTTGAGATTAAATTGAATAATTATTAGAAAAGTATGGACTAAATTGAAATAAGAAAGCTTAAGTTAATTAGGGAGTAAAGTGAACAAAGAAAAAAGAAAAAAAAAAGGCTAGTATATGCAAATCAAAAAATAAAAGATGGCATCACACTTTGGGTGGTATGGGAAACCTCATATAGCCTTCAAAGATGAGCTTATTTAATGTTGTTGGAATTTTTGTGTCGTAATTGTTCTTTCAAGAGAGACGTGTTTGAAATAGAGATTTATTGTGACTAGGACAATCATTTTTTCTTTTTCTTTTTCTTTTTTTTTCTTTTTTCTTTTCCTTGTTTCCCACACATGAAATTCTTTTCTGCTTGAACAAAAAGGGATTGTGTTTTTTTTTTTTATCAATTTTCAATCGTAATCTCTTTAGTTGTATTAGTTTGAAAACAAAAAATCAAAATAACTTTTCACAAAATTGAGTGTTAATTCAAAATTAGTTTTCTTTTTCAAGGTAAAAACCCCATATTAATTTAAGTGAATCAAACTATAAATTCATATCTTAAATCAACGAAATGTGGAATGATCTAATAAAAAAATCAACGAAAAAAAAGATGGAAAAAAAGAAGAAGCAAACAGTGAGTCTACAGGAAATAAAACAGTAGACCACCTGGTTAACTTAGTGTTTTGTAAGGATTAGGGTTTTATTGTATAAATTAATAGGAAAAGGAGAAAAAATTTCTAGGTCGGTTTCCTACCGCCCACAAGCTGCATGTATATACCTAGCTATTTCTCTATCCACAATTACTAAAGCGAAAACCGTGAGCATGGAGATCTTGAAGGATGGACAAAGAGACTGGACTCAGGTTCCTGCCGATATTCTGGAGTACATAACAAGCAAGGTAAGTGTGGCTGGCTATCATCGATTTTTGTTGGTTTGCACTGCATGGAGACGCACAACATCAATGAGACCTCCTTCTTCTCATCTTCCATGGTTAATGCTCTCCAATGATAGAAATAAGAGAACTCGTAGATTTTTTTGTCTTCATGATTCAAAATTCTACCAAATCCCATTACCAAGAGTGGTGCGTCGAAGTTGGTGTGCTGGATCATCTTATGGTTGGTTTATAATGGCTCATAAAACTCGAGGAGATTTCTTTTTTAATCCTTTTTCTGGTGTTAGGATTCCAATACCAACCCATTACCAGCCTTACTCTTTTGTACGACCTGCCTCTAATCCGTATTTTATAACTAAAGCTATCGTATCTTCAGAACCCACGCCAGAGAATATTGCTGCCGGTCATTGCTTGGTTGCTGCGCTTTTTGAGGTAGATAGTTTAGGTATTTGTCGACCAGGAGACCAAGCACGGACCTGCTTTACGATCAGGTATAGTTTAGGTATTTGCCGACCAGGAGACCAAGCATGGACCTGCTTTACGATTAGCTAGGTCCCTTAATGGCGATGGGGAGGGCCAGGAAGAGGAGGAGGAGGAGGAGGAGGGCGATGTGCATGTGGATATCCCATTAATAAAGGTGAATTTAATAAAAAAAGATGATGAAGATGATTCAGAACTGGAGGAGTATGAGTATGAAGATGTCCAAGAGATAGATGACGATGGGCAGGCTGAGGTGAGGATGACAATGAGTAGGAGATAGAGGAGGGCTTGGATGATGAAGAGGAAACGGTAACAATAATCACTGATATCACATTTTATAGAGGAAAATTATATGCCATATCATATTATAATGCAATTTATATATGTGACGAGGCAAGGTATGATAGTATTGCATGGAGGAGATTAGACACATCACCTTTGAACCTAAAGAAGAAAGAGAGAGGGCGTTGTGATTTCAGGTATTTAGTAGAATCTAATAATGGTGAGCTTTTAATGGTTGTAAGAGTAAGGGATCATGGATTTACCATACAGTTAATAGTTTTTAAGCTTGATGATGAAACAAGTGATCCTGCTAAAGGGGTTAGGCTGGAAAACATAGGCAATCAGATTATATTCCTGGGAAGAAATCACAACAAATGTGTTCCTAGCTGCCATTGACTTTCCAGGCTTCGAAGGAAACTGTGTCTGTTACTCATGTGACCTATGGAACCATTTTCGTGTGCTTCCTGTGGATCAACGTGACTATGCAGACATGGGAGTAATACGGTTTAGGAAGAAGAGTTAAAGAGGAGTTTTTCCCTGAAAATTATGGAGCCTTCATGCCGAATTCAGAGCATTCATTCAAGTATCCACCTATATGGATTACACCAAATCCATGGTAAGAAGAAAGTGGGCTGTTAAAGGAGGGCTGGAGATGTTTTGAAATTGGTTTTCGAAGAAGCAGATATTTAGGCCTTAGTGACGGTCCATCCTACATTGATAATGATTCTATGCTAATATATCTGCCATTGATAACAGAAGTTGAATGCTTGCTGAACTTTGCTAGCATAATGCAAGTTCTTTTCTTTATCTCAAAATATTTTACATTCTGGCCTCTGAGAAGTTGGATTGCCTCTGATGTACTAGGGGTTTAACTGAAATTTCCTCCTCGGATACGAAGGACAAGAACATCTCAACAATTTATTTGTTTTCCCCCCTTTTTACATGAACTTGTAAGTTCTATTTGTGTCATTGGTTGCTGCCAAATGGATTCAGCAACTCATGAGAAGCTCACCGAACCTGCAACGAAGAGATGATTCAGCTTTCGTCGTCACGCATATGTGTGATCAAGATGAACCTGCAGGTGGAAGGGAAATTGATTGAATGCTTCTCTTCGGCATATGATCGGCTTGCTCCTAGCACAATTTCCATGGTCATGTGATATAAATTTCGGCTTGTGTTATAAAAAAGAGATTCATAAGAGGTAAAAAAATGTTTAGCTGGAGAAGGAAATTTAAAAGTGCTTGGATGGAGGTAAAAAAACAAGAAATAATTTTTTTACCTACTCATCATATAATAATAATAATAATAATAATGTTATATCATTCTTACTAAAAAATACACACACACACACAATGATGTCCTAATTTAGTTTGCACATGATTTTCTTCAACTGTGGAATTACTTTAAGCGTGATATAATCACATAATCGAATAAGTTGTATATCCCAAGTCTTGGATAGGTAAAGCATATTTATAAAACCCAATCCAGAAATTAACTTATCCAAGGCTTGGATTGCATTAACCTTACTCAATTTAATTTTTCTTTAAAAAAAAAAACAAGGGTTTTTTCACTAACTCCTTCTAGGTCACCAAATTGACCCGTATTCTCCTGTTTCTTGGTTTTGGCTTCTAAAAAACTTCAAAGATCACTAGTACAAGTGACTTAAAATTAATTTTTCTAAAGGAATCTTTTGAAATAAGCCAGGGTATAAACAATTAATTTAAAATTACTCACAGCAATCACAAAATTATAAACAACTATCAAGCCAAGATTTTCCATACAAGTTATCTTACACAATCTGTGTGAAGTGAAAAAAACACAAAAAAAAAAGAAAAAGGAAAGAGTTGAACCCAAAAACAATACTACCAAGAAGAAGAAAACCCCAAAAATAATGCTAAAAAATTGTTTCCTTTTTTAATATAGCTGTCACCAAAGATGCATCATACAATCATGTTGAGTATACCCCACAATGTGATTTTACATCTTAATAAAATTCCAAGAAAGAAAACCTATATTAGAAAAATCTCAAAAGCTCAAACCATACACAGATTTCCTTGTGACTGCTCTATATGATGAGCAAAGTTGAAACATGATCATCTGGACAAGAAACATGTACGAAGTTCACTTCACCATCACCTATATCATAATCATCCTATGCAGCAATTCCTGAAACAGATGAAAATCAAGAAGACCATGTCAGTTCCATAGAGAATAGTGTTGCTAGTGTAAGGTTTTCCAAGAAAAGAATTTAATCAGCCTTGGTTACATGTACCAACCAAGTTGAAAGTAAGAACTAAGTGATAAAGAAGTACGGACTCAGACAATCTCCATCAGATAATTTGCACATGATAATCTGGATAAAGTGAATGTATCGAGTAACGTTCAGCAAAGCGCCAAGAAATTCGTCTCATGGGTTATTTTTATTCACACACTTTTCTGAAACAGGATGAAATGCAATTTTCAGGACTGCAGGTAAAGATCAAGTACATGTTCAAGTATTTAGGCAATTATTGAAACAATTAGTACATTTGAAATACATTTACTTCATGCATGGCAATTAAGGAATATGTAAGCCAACCAAAATGACCACATTCCTAATGATCGATATTCATATCAATGACAGTGAATAGATGTTGAATCAATTAATCAGTACAGTCAGTCATGATGCTGGAGAGTTGGAGTACTACTATACAGTTGCAATGGGGAAATCCACTGCAAGAGACTAATGCAATTATATTCTGCAATTTTGCCTAAGTTAATCATATTCTCCCGAGTTATGAAAGCTTGGTAATAATATAAAATGCAATGTTGGTGATCAGAGAAGAAATCAACAAAAAGAAGGGGAAAACACTTACCTCTATTTGATTGTCTATTAGCAACACTATAACCACCAACATAACCAGCAGAATTTTTAGTCATAACATCAGAAGTTGCATTTCCAAGCCCAAAACCAAATGAGCCAGACACATCCAGTTCCGAAGGTGAAGATTGCCAGGTATTATCCCCGTATAATGAGCCCTTCTCATAAAAGTCTGCATAAGCCCCATCATAACCACCATTAGATGCAGCATGAGATGATGCTGGTGCAACACCTGTCCTACTGTTCCTTCCATACCCCACTCCTCCTAGACCAATATCAAAATCTCCACCACCAAAGCTAAGATTACTGCTATTGACTGAGCGAAACCCTCCACCTTGTTCAGAATTAGCAGAGGAACCCCAAAGTGCTCCCACACTGCTAAAAGAACCCATTCCTGAGCTCCCCATTCCAAAGCTCATAAAAGAACTGGAGTTTGTGGTGTTAGAACCATGATTAATACTTCCATTTCCCCATAAAGAGTGGGCAATTGGATTTAAGGCAGAACTGCTTCCTCCATTGCCTCCACTAAATCCAATGGGGTTGCTGTACCTGCTTGCATTTCCACTATATGAAGGACTTACTCGTCCGTAGCCAGCATTAGAACTGGTGTTTGAATTTCCCCCATAAATTGGGTTCAACACCTGCTCAAAGTTCAATCCCATCCCATAACCACTACCAAATGGAGAAAAGTTACTCCGCCCAGCAGTAACAGGACTAAACCTGCCATCCATTCTAACACCATACCCTCCAACAAAACTTGGATTGTATCCCTGAGTGTAACCATTGAGGAAGCTACTGGCTCTACTAGGACTATAATTAAAACCCCCTAACTGGTTCCTAGTTGGCCCTGGAGATAACTCTTTAGGGACAGCCCGCTTGACCTCAACCATTTTACCATTGAGTTCATGAAAGGTTTTGTGCAATACTCTATCCACTGCTTCCTCTGAATCGTAGGTGATGAATCCAAAACCTCTTGGCCTTTGAGTGTTGTGATCATACATAACTACCACATCTGTAATCATCCCAAACTGATCAAAGTACTTCCTAAAGTCACTCTCTGTAACTGTAGATGCTAAACCTCCTACAAATATCTTCTTTGTTCGGGCTGGGCCAGGTGAACCATTAACACTGCTACTGTTTTTGTTCAGGGTGTTCTGATCCTCTCTAGGAACTGCCTTCTTTGCCTCAACCTGAACGGAAAGATTGATTAGGACTATGAAAGTTTGCATAAGAAACAGTCCAATGTTTCATAACTCCTTAAAAAAAATGATGAAGAAAAACATTTTCTGCTTGTCAAATGTAAGCAATGGGCACTTGGAATTGAGAAACTTGTTGAAATTTTTAACTCCACTCTTTTCCTAACAATGTTGCAATATTTTGCATTACTCAGAATAATCTGTTTGTATAGAAAGCAGGTGCTTGCATGAGAACTGGGACAGTATATCGACACATTTCATCTCTTTACTTTGTAAAATTTTTCATTCATATTGCATATTATTAACAGCAGTCATAACATCTCCGCAGCACAACAAATTATCAAAACAAGTGTCTAGCAGAGACTCGACTTTATTGTAGATAAGCTTCTCCTCCCTCATTTTTTTAATCAGCTTCAATTTTTGCACCAATGTTTTTTTCCCATTATCATCAGCGATTGATGAGGCATTAATTACAGTTTGTATTTTTTATATCCTCCAATCAACCTCACTCTCATGGAAGCCATTTCTCATATCCCTTAGCATGTGTACTTTTATTCTAAAACAAAATTTTCTGAACCATCTAGCAGTGCTAATAATGGAACATTTGTATCATGCTGTCAAATTCTAATCTCCGATTGCTGTTTAAGTTTGCCAAGAGAAAAAAAATGAACTATGACATCGACAATGCTCATGTTACATTCTATATCAAAGGGAGTAATGCCAGCTAGCTTTCTAAATATTTAAGCTCTGAGCCTTAACTGAAATGGTCAATATTGACACAGAACGAAAAAATTCCCCATCTACCTCCCAAGGAAAAGAAAATGTTTATTTGTTTAGACAATACATGGAACAATCAACAATCCATTGTTGTCATCTACTCTACACCATCATAGATTCACGAAGATGAAATTTATCTTTCTCATAGCATAGAAATTTATGATGATCAGATTAAACCAGCAGTAAATCAGTATCGGTCAAAATCCAAATTATTGAGAATTAAAACGTAACAACTTACATTTCTACCATCTATAAGGTGCTTTTCCATCACAACTCTCTCAGCAACAGCAGGGTCTGCGAAAACAACAAAACCAAATCCTCGAGCACGACCCGTGGCCCGATCCTTCATTATGACAGTTTCTAAAACTTCCCCAAAAGCCCGGAAATACTCCTTAAGACGGTCTTCGTTCGTGTCCCATGAAATCCCACCAATGAACAACTTTCCAAGCTCCATTTCCATTCTACACACAAATCCCAACAATAAAGTCACCAACAAACATTAAAACAAAATCAAAACATAAAACTAATAATCTCATCAAAATATAAATCATTTCCAATCCTATACCAATCAAACACCAGATCTTAATTCTAACACACAATTGGACACCACTGCAGCAAAATACAATCCAATACTCACTGCCACAAAACATCTAAGTCAGCACAGAAAACAATACTAAGTTAACAAAAACAATCAAACACATGATATCGTAATGCAGATTAAACAAAGAAAAACAATACCTTGTCAAAAATACAAAGCAAAGCTTGGATATTTACAACAAAAGGTCACTCTTGGATTAAATCCAAAAGTAGAAACAACCTTTGAGCAATCAAATATCAATCAAAAGCAATCCAGGAATCCTGACAAACAAGCAGAAACATACCAACTTCGATAAGAAAATGAGTACAAGATCCAAAACCCAGAATTCATTACAAAAAAGATTGCTTTTTTATTGGAAATTTACCAGGAAAAAAAAAGAAGAAGAACCCAGATAGGAAACTGGAAGAATCTAAGATCTGCGAGGAAAAATAACAATATGAGAGGGTGAGAGAGACCCTTTCTTTTTTGCTCTCTCTCCTCCCTCTTTCTCTCTTTGCAAGTTACTGTTGTCGTTGTTGTTGATGATTAAAATTTTATCAAAGAAAGACACAAAGACAGAGAGAGAAAATGGGTTTGTTTCCAACAACAAAAAAATGGGTACCCAAGTTTGTGTCTTTTGTGTGTGTGTGAGTGTGTGTATGTATATATAGATATAGCGAAAGATAGAGAGAGGTTTGGCTATCCTCTCGTGTAAGAAAGTTACAAAGGAGACGATGGGGAGGATGGTGACTTTCCAAATTATTTAAACAACTAAAAGAATTAAATTTTGCCACCTTAACCTTTTTCTTTAATTGTTATTATTATTAGTATGTTTTGACCATTGTACGTTCAAGCCCTTTTCAATTAGGACCCTGCTGTTTTGGGGTTAACTTATTTGATTTTGTAAATTTTTATTAAGTTTTTTTGGGTGCGTGAGTGAAAAAAATCTTAGGGTTGGAAAATTGCTTTAGCCTTGAGGTGAGGTGTTTCTTTAGGTTACATTTGGTATTTTAATGTTGCACTAAAAGTATGATTTTTATATTTCTCTAGTGAAATTGTTTATGATGCCTCACAATAATAAATGAACACACTTAAATCATTTATGGTTTGATTTTTATATTATTATATTAAGTTTAAATTCTTTTTTTATGAAGGGGTTTAAATTAAATTGGAGTTGACAAGGAAGAATTTTTTTGTAAATATAGTTATTTGAGTGGGGATGATTTGTTTAAAACTTGATTGAGAAGGTATTTGAATTTGAAATGTAAAAATGTTTTTGACATTCCTAATGTTGCTATAAAAAAAATACATCTAGCTATTAAAATGTAAGTGATGATTGTAATTGATGACCTTATTATTTTTGTTTAACCTTCTTAGTTGTTTTCTTTTAACTGAGTTGTATTGTAAGTTATCAAAAAGGTGAGAAATAGTTCAAAAATACCATTAATCATCCCATGTCTTAGACATCTAAGTTCTTTATAAAGATGACATTTTTGGCTCCCTCACTTTTGGAGAAAGAAATGGTACTTTGTTGTGTTTTTATATTGCCAAACATGTTTTCTATACAAATAATAATAATAATAATAATAATTAGATGAATATTTTGTAAAACTTAGAATTTAAAGGCTTCCAAAATTGAAAAAAAAGAGGAAAAAGGCTTGCAAACATTAATTAACTAATAAAAACTAATTAAGGAGTGGAACTTACTCATATAATTACTCTCCATCAAAGTAAAGTATTATACTTTTTTTTCATCTTTTTTTATTGAATTTTTTTCTTAGTTTTATTCTTCAATAATTGATTAATTTAAAATTAATTTTTATAATTTTATTTATTTATTCTTTGTGAAATTATCCATATCTCATAAAAAATAAACTAGATTGACTCAGATTATTTTTTTATTTTCAATTTTTTTCATTTAACATAGGGTTGATTAAAAAATAAACTTTATAATTTGTTTTAATTTTTTTCTATGAAATTATCTTAGTTACATGATCCAAGTTATAAATTTGACAAGTTAACCTAAATTCACTCAAGTTGTTTTTTTTATGAATTTTTTTAATTAATTCTTTTTTATTTTCAATCTTCAATATTAAGATGATTAGAAATTGAATTTTATAATTTTTTTAATTTATTTTTTTATAAGGTTATTATATTCTAGATTATAACTTAGATCGTGAATTTTGACGGGTTAATCTTGATCGATCATATATATTTCATCTCAATATTTTTAAAAAATTATTTTAAAATTTATTTTAGTAAAACTATGTTTTTAACAATTATTTAGATTTTTTAAAAAATTATAAAGTTGATAAAGTAATATAAAGTCAATCTTTATACTATTTAAATTTTTATATATTAAAAAATCTATTAACAAAAACTAAATTTTTTTTACATAAAATAATAATAATTTAATTTACAATGCAGCAGCACGAGCTAATAATGTAGCATATCCTTAAATAATCCTTTCAATTTATGATGCCAAAGAAACATCAAATATGGTTGTTTTCTTCCACGTAAAAGGATTGTTTGATGCAGAGGCAAGGGTTTGAACTATTCATCCTAACCCATTAATTACATGTTCTTGGAAGAAATTATATATATATATATATATAAGGTGACTTTGAATATGTCCATGAGTTGATGAGTGATGCTTAGAATGAATGAATGTTTCAATAGATAAGATGGCTATTTCTTTCTTATTTCATGAAAACAACTTTGGGCACAACTTTTAATTATAATATTCGATAAAGCTGGAGATGTGTGAAAGACAGAAGGGATCCCTTGTCTTCCCACTCATCCAAAGAACAGATAGATGCATCAACATTAATATTCATTTGCTGCCTCCATATACAGGACTGGTGCACATGCATGATGTCATTGCATTACAATTCCATTGCGTTACCCTCCACTTGCCCTTTTCCTTGATCAAGAATATCACAATAAAAAATAACCTCCCGAGCCTTTGATTATGCTTAGCATTTCCATATATATATATATTACATATTGCTATCTGCTATAGGTAGAAGATTGTGCTTCTATTGACCTAATCACTTGCATTTTCCAAGAACTTGGGTTTAATTCCTTACTGTTTTACCTAATATGGATAATAAAGGAACGCCGAGGTTGAAAATCTTAATCAACATTTATTTACTTTGGTGCTAAAGAGCCATCAGTTGAGACAATCTTGGGCAAATCTCAGATACATGAAATAATTTTATTTATTTTTTTGGATAAATACTTGAAACTCTAAGTTGTAGATGACAGAGAGATGACTAAGATGGGATAAGTTTTGAGGGCCGTTTATTTAGCTAAAACTCATTACATGGTCCCTCTACTTTTACAAGTTCGATCGAACCGTTATCTTTACTTTCAATTTGAGGTGATTTGAGGCCTTTTCTCCAGCTTCATTACTAGCTAAACAACAAATTTATGCCATTTACGCACGCCACCTATATAGTTCTTGTTGGATAATCTCAAATTGCCTTTTATGGGTAAATCAGGGATTAATTTGATCAAATTTAAAGTAGAGGGTTTGATTCAGCTAAATATACAAACTAAGAGAACCATGCAATGATTTACTCTATAATTTGTGCTTAGGGTTCGCAAAAGAGACCAAGCATAAATGGGAAAGGTTTGAGCTATATTCACAACGAAATTAATGGCTAAGAAGTACAAGTTTGCATTGTTAGCATCGAGCATCGATGTGAAACTACCACATCCCCATCTCTCATATTTGGTTTGTTGCCATCATGGTGGACCAGATGATATAATGAAAGAGCTCTGCTATCTCTTTGAAAGGTGTCCACAAAGGGAAAGGGAAAGGGAAAGTGAAACCAAAAGGTGATCTGATTTTAGGGGGGAAAGGGTAATTGATTAGGGTTTCGTTTAATGCACAACTAGGTGATTGCAATAAAAACAATGAAATATATTTAATGTGTGATGTGTTTTTTTATTCATTTTTAAAAATATTAAATTAATAAACAAATCTTGGTGATACAAACTACATCAAGTTTAAATATAACTTTAAAATATTTAATAACTAGTTTTACGATATTAAGTGTATTTCTCAAACTGTACATCAAAATGAACTAAAATTTTACGAGGACATATTAGATATATATAACTATATTTTAGTAAATTGTCAGGTCAAATAAAGTTCATGAACATATTATTTTAGATGTTAAAGTTGCTAGATATATCTTATTAAATCTGTTATACTAGATTTATTGTATAATGTTAGGGGCATATATGGAGCTACAGGTGAAATTTTGTTGTGATTTAGGTTGGTTTGAAAATTAGACATCTCATGTTTTTCAATCATACATGGTATGTTCAATAATTTTTCCAGACGAGATAAAACAACGTGTTTGAAGTCATGATTGAAAATCTACTAAAAATATACAAAAATTAAATATTTGAGCTACATGAAAGAATTTTGACACGAAGACTTTATTTTTGTTATCCCATTTTATTTATTCACTAAATATTAAATAATTATCTTTTTAATTTGGATTTGTTGTAGCCCATTAGACATTGTTTAGGGTTCATTTTATTATTAGACTAATGTTAATTAATTACTAGTTTATAACTATTAACTTGTAGCTAAAAAAAGATATATTAGGGTTAGTTAGATGAAACTATATTATGTTTTTTGGGTTGCAAGTTTCAGTATCAATTTAAAGAATAAATATGAGTTTTTTTCGGCAAAATAACCTTTCTTTACAGGGATATAGATTTTATAATAATTTATTAAAGTTTAATTGACTTCGTGGCATCATTCACATATTTTTTATTATTAGATATAAGGTTATCTCCATATCTAAATCTTTGTTCAATACATTTAGTTTTTAGATACAGAATTATTTTTGAATCAAGGCTCTATTGAACTTGATTTTTAATTTTTTAAGTTGTTATCTACTATGTTGGGAGTTGTTTAATTATGTGATTAAAAAGTTTGCATTACTTGTTTCTAAATTTAACAGTTTTTTAATTTATTAATTATATTGCTGAAGTTATAATTATAAAATTCAACCTATACTATAACTTGATTTAAGGTTTCAATCAGAAGTAGATAAGTTAATATTGCCCAATTTAAAATAAAATTGTGGTGCTCTTAGTAGAAAAGAAAAAAAAAACTTGGCTCATATCCCACCCTAAATAATACTTGGTTAATTAAAAATAAAATTAGCAATAAAAACATCAATATTTAATGTTGAAAATGCTAAATGTTGATGGATGGCCGAGATCATACCTTGCATGGATGCAAAGAAAACCCAACGAATTTCTAAACATTCAATTCTGACCAGCGAATTCAAGATAAAGAGATCGGTACGGTAGTTAAATGACGTGTTAATCTTGAAATTTCATGTTCATAAATGTTATTTTTTTAAAACATCAAATCAATATAAAAATAATATTTTAACATTATTCGGAAAAGTAACTTAGTGTTCATTTGATGCATCAACTCGTTGGAGCTGGTATCTTGGTTATTATAACAAAAGTTAAAATGTGTTAAAAAAATAATGGTAGATTAAAAGATATTTTATAATAGTAGTTTTATTTTTAAATTTTAAATTTTTTTGTGAGAGATTTTGTTGGTTTTTTTTTTATTTTCAATGAATGGGTAATATTTATTTAATTATTTAATTAAAAAAAACATATATAATGTTTTATTATGGTCAAATCTGATCATTCGTTGTATCACTGAATACACAAATGTGCTTGCTCCACATGGTATGACGGGTATAAACAAATAATTATTAGATTATTATCAATGATCAATTGTTTATATATTTTTTTTATTTACTTTCCCCTAATAACTAAAATGTATAATTGTCATTTTTATCCGTTGTTTGTTAAATTAAACACGTGTGTCATACCCAAGCACGTTGTATCTCACATGGCTACATAGTGTTTGACATAAATGTTAGACTTGAGCATCTCAGGTTAGGCATAGTTATCAAACTCAAGGCTAGACCAACACACCTTGAGTTTGACATGGTGTGCAAAACCCATCGTGCTTGGGTCCATGCCAGACTCGTGAGTTAGGGTATGTCAAATTGCACGCCTATGTCTAGTAGCTATGCTAGGCATAAGCGACGTTAATCTGAGTAGGTGATAATTAAAATGTTGAAACTTGTAATTTTTTTTTAAAAAAATATATTTAAACTAATTTTGAAGTATCCTAAATAGAAATTTAAGTTCAGAAATTATTTATAAACAACAAATCATAATAAAAATCTAATTTAACATTTTAAATTTAAAAATTCAAACTATATCTTCCTATTAAAATAATTTATTTTTTATGGTTATAAATTTATTATTCCTTCAATAGAAATTCTTTCTTTTCTTTTCTTTTTTCTCTTTTTTTCAAACAAAAAACTTAATGTTTGGGCCTAATATAACCCAAGCACCTAGGCCTAATAACTATGTCAGATTCAAGTGACTTAGGTCTGAACAGGTGATAATTAAAAATTTAAAACTTATAATTTTTTTATTGTTTATAAAAAAATATTTAAATTATCTTTGAAGTATCTTAAACAAAAATTTAAGTTCAGAAATTATTTATAAACAACAAATCATCACAAATATTTAATTTAATGTTTTAGGTCTAAAAAATTAAATTATATATTCCCATTAAAATAGTTTATTTTTTTATATGTTTAAAAATTTATTATTCCTTCAATAAAAATTACATCTTCTCTTTTTCTCTCTCTCTTTTTTAACTATATTTTTTAACTCTTTGCCTGAGTCTGGTATGACTCATGTGCCTGGACCATATCAAGGTAACTTAGGTTTGACAATAATACCTAGACTCATGGACTCGACATTGATATTATTATTTTTAAATTTAAAAAATTACATAGGATCCATATTTACTTAGAACTGGTAAACAAATAAGATTTAAATTATTTGAGTGTCAGACTTAAAACTCTTGAATTTAACATGACTATTAGATTTAAAGCACTCAAAACATTCTTTTATACTATTAATATTTTTTTTACATTGAAAAAATAAGAATATTGATCAAGATGAGTTGTATTTTAATTTGGTTAGAAAGTTTGAATTAATTAAACTTGATTAAGTTAATTTTAATATTCTTTAAAATTTTGATTTAAAATAATATTATTTTAATTAAAAAAAATTGATATTATTATAGAGTTAACTTTGATTAACTAAACAAAGCTTGTAATCTAAATTTTGACTAGGTTACTATTTCTATTTAAGGTTATGTTTGAGATTTTGATGCATGATATTTTTAAAAATATTTTTTACTTGAAAATATACTGAAATAATATTATTTTTATATTTTATATTTTTTATATTAACACATCAAAACAATAAAAAAATACTAAAAATATTAATTTGGAACTTTTTCAAAAATAAATTTCAAAAATTTTAAAATATTTTTTATTTTTTATATTAACATGTCAAAACAATAAAAAAATACTAAAAAAATATTAATTTGAAACTTTTTCAAAAATAAAATTTAAAATTTTTAAAAATATAATCCAATCATCCTTCAAAAGCATCCATGAATCTTGAGCCGGGTCAAACTCAAATCGGATCTGAAAACCATGGGTATGTTTACCATCCGATAAAAAAGGAAAAGCGAGAAAGAATTTGGTCCGAGACACTCGATGATCACTGGGTGAAAAAAAAACACACGACACCACACTACTCGAAACCTCGAACTCTACGAAAAGAAGCAAACCATAGTAACGAGTCTCTATCTCTCTCTGTGTCTCTGACAGCTTAAAACCTGTCTCTCTGAAACCCTTTAACCCTAAATTTAGCACAACCATGAAAATCACAAACCAATTGCTATTTCAAGAATGAAGTCACTAATCACCCCAACAGTCTTGTTCTCACCAATGTCAATAAAGGCCACACCTTTAGCTTCCAATCTCTTCTTTTTAGCTTCAAAATCCAATCTTTTCTCGAAAACTCAAAACCCCATTTCTTCTTTGCCTCTAAAACGCATTATGATTTCACTTAAGCCTTCAAATCTTCTAATTCAGACTCGGTGTGTCCATTCAAAATCCGCTCTTTCTACTTCTTCTGGTGAAATTCATGTGATTGTTGGCCCTATGTTTGCTGGCAAAACTACCACTCTTCTTCACCGTGTTCAAGCTGAAATCAATGATGGCAGGTTTGATTTTCTGTTGCTTGGCTTATTTTGTGTTTTATGATCTGGGTTTTTGTTAGAATTTGATTTTGTTGTTTGTGTGATGTTGGATTTTTGGGTTTCTTTTATTTTTTGTTCGGTTTGGCTTCATATTTTAGTTTTATTGTTGATATAGTAGCTGTCTTGAGACACATATTAGATTACAGATGGATTGATGGTGTAGTTTGAACTTTAAAAGGTGGGAGTTTGACAATTTTTTTTGGATTGAAGGAATGTGATTATCATGGGTTGACATTGCCAGCTTTCAGGCTAGGAATTTGCGTGAATTGGAGAAAACATTAAAGTTTTTTTGTATAACAGGGAGAATGAATGAAACCATGTGGCTATTATGGCAATTGGGGTTGGAACTGGACCGTGGGAGCTGTGCTCTCCTGTTTCAAGAATGCATTTTCAGGAAAATGTACTAGGGGAGAAGAATCCATGCACAAATGGCTGTTGTTGGGTTTGTTCCAAACAACTATCTGAAGACTAAATTGACAATATTGGATGCCAAATCTGGGGATTTGAAGATCATGCATGTGTTGTTCGATACATTGATGGATAAAAGCTTGATTTCTTGGAATACACAGGTTTCTTGATATGTGCAAAATGGACTTGAAGAATTCAGAATTGGTTTTCATTACAAATTAAGATTCTGTCCTGATGCTTGTCAATAAATAAATGGATAGATAAATAAAAGATTCTGTTGGGATACTTAAAATTGAAATTTTAGCAAGTAGATTACGCATATATCCAACAGTGTTTGGAATTTAGGACTTGCCAATTAACAACTTTTGGTGAGATGGTTTAAAGTAGAGTCCCATGGCCATGGGGAATTAAACAATGTCATATTATCAACAGAATTGTTGTTTTGTTATTCATTCTCCTTTTCTACCTGTCATGCAGAAACGTAGCAATTATAAAATCAAACAAGGATAATAGATATGGATTGGATTCAGTAGTGACACATGATGGGGTCAAATTGCCATGTTGTGCGCTGCCCAATTTGTCATCATTCAGACAGAAATTCGGTCAGGATGCTTATGACCAGGTA